AAGCTGAACGTGAGGCGGGAGAAACTCGAGGGTTCGAGCGACGGCGCCATAGGGACGATCGGCGAACTCGAGGAGAAACTGCGACGGCTCGAGGAAGAGCGAGAGAGGATAGAGCGCGATCCGTTTGGGTACGAGGGGGAGGCGGGGTGGAGGGACGTGGATGGCTCGCAGGACAACGAGGACCCGATCGTCGAGCCCGACGGTCACACAAGTCGCTCGGACCACCAGAGTGTGTCGGGCAGCTCCTCGCAGGGCCACCACAATACGAGCCATGTGCACCTCAATTCGAGCCACGGCGTGTTCGCCCATGCACACCACCCTCACCAACACCCCCGCAAGCGGCACTCACATCCACATACGCAGCCGCATGCGCACCATCAACACCCACATCACCCATTGGCCCCCGTACGCCCCTCCGTGCGCGCAGACGCACCACAGGCGCAACCCCAGGCGCAGATCCTCCCCCCAATCCAGCGCCCCGCCCACAACTCCCGACTGTCCCTCCCGAACCACCGCGAGCTCGGCGCGGGCCCGGGCATCATTCACCTCCAAGCTTCCGCTCCCGTCTCCAGCCACGCACACAAGGCCAATGGCCGACCCCACGCCAACGGGCATACTGGCCGCGCACACTCGAACTCAGGTTCGGGTTCCGCGTCGGGCTCGTCCGCAGCCTCGTCACCGGCGCCACCCGCCATTGGCTCAAATCTGTCGGGGCGTGCGCAGCCTTTCGAGCCGTCAGGCTTGGGATTCAATGCGGCGCGCAATGCGCAGGCAATATTGGTGACGAACAGGTCTGACTTGAACCCGGGGAGCAGCCCGTTCGCTCCTCGATCGGCGGTGGGGCAGACGGCGTATTCAAGACCTCGCGGTGGGTCGACATAGCGGAAGCTCCTCTGTGGATGCCTTCGTTCACAATTGTAGCGTTCAAGCGTTTGTAATCTATTGTACGGGCTGATCCATGTAATAGATTATGGCTGTACCATGTATGACGAAATAATTTAGCCCTGTTGAGCATTCAATCCTTCAGGCGTATCAAAGACGTACTTGCGTGTTGTTGCAGTGCAAAAAGTAATATTTACTCTCTGTCGGGGAGTCGAACCCCGCTTTCGCGCGCACCGTTGATGACAGGCGCGTGTACTAACCGATATACTAACAGGGATGAATAAAGGTTGCGCTGACAGTCATGTGAGTTGCGTCCGTTCGACAGTCAAAGTCAGACTTGGACTTGCTCGTCTTTGATCAAATTCACACCGGGATCACGCGCTGTGTCCTGACAATCACGGAGTTTACAATATGTCCCCGAGACATACAAAGCAGAAGCGCGGCACTGGGCAATACAGGATCCCCGCCACCTTCGCCCACGACATCGAGAACGCAGAGGGATGGAATGCTATCGTCGAGTTCCTATGCAACTTCTTTGAGCTTCCTGGTGCGTCATTATTCGTGAGGACAGGGCGCGGTCTCATTAAAGACCGGCCTCAGACCTAACAACGCGTAGTGGACTCAAAAAGGCGCATGCGCGTTACGAAGAGATATCCAAAAAGCTCGATGCCGCGTACACCAAGTACGAGGGCAACGAGAAAGTCGTCGGAGGAATCGTCGGGGTATGGGCGAAGATGTCTGTGGACGCGCTCCTCCGGGACAAGCTCTTCAAGGACGGTATGTCGCCTGGTCATTGTCAAAGGAATACAATCGGACACTGAGACCGTTGCTAGGCTTGGTCTCGAAGATGATGCCCGTGCTCGATTTACCTTCAACCCGCCATGTAGGGCTACAAGCACTGTGCACCGTTACGCATCACGGTGGTATAGCGGCGAAGCAAGAGATCGCGAAGCAAACCCAGATCCTACTTCGCCTCATAGAGCAGTTCCCCGACGACGACAAGGTCTCTGAACTAGTGATTGTCGTCCTTTGCCATGCTATCGGCGCAGTCGTTGGCCAGGAAGGTACACCCGACCCAGCGCTCCTCCGACCACTCGACATGCGGACGGTCCTCAAGGTGACCACCGACAACCTCCGCAAGCCTACTGCCTCCCCATTCCTCATCAGTCATGGGTTGGGGCTGTTGACAATTTCGACACAGCACTGCTACAAGGAGTGCAAGGCGCTACCGCCGCTTTTGACCTTCCTCGTTGCCTGCCTGCGTAGCAACGAGATCACGACGCGCTGCAATGCCCTCGGAGGGATCATCCGCATGAACTACGCCGAGGCCGAACATGCACCGACATACTGGGATCCCATGCGGATGATGTCGATCATACAGGAACGCCTCCCGGACGAGCTCGCGGATGTCATGGTCGACTACGGCTACGAGCGGTGCGACCTGACCCTCACCTTGCGGTCAGCCTCGGACTTCCAGCGCGCGATGCAGGCGTGCTTCGCGGACAAGGACCTCTACAAGCTCGGGAAACAGCTCGCAGAGCTCATCACGCGCACCGAATTCTCGATCACGAATGGCGTGTACCAATTCGTCAACGAGCGCACGGGCAAGGTTGAAGGGTATAACGGCGGCCTTCCGTTCGTGCAGTGGCTCGACGCACTTCCACACTGCGCACGCGCTCTCCGCACGAAGGGCCTCCCCAACGACCTCGATGACGCCGACGTGCTTGACATTAAATATAGCATCGTCAAGCAGCGCATCCCTGACGCGATCCGGGTGGCAAACAAAGCGCTAGAGCGCAACCCACAGCTCGCATACGCGTACTACGCCATCGGGCTGGGCGGCAACTCCGAGAACGGCTTGCGCGCGGTCAAGAAGGGTCTTAAGGCGACGAAGATCACGCCTTTCGTGAAGAACTACATGCTATGGCGCGCCGTCGAGCATGCAGGAAACCTGGGCGTGAGCCGGCTGCAAGAGGCGAACGAGGGCGATAGGGACTACAACGAAGGGCTCGCGTTCCTCATGTCTTCGCGCGAAGATGCGAGGAGGTTCATCGCGGAGGCGCCACCGGACTCGCGGAACTTGGGCACCATACTTGACTGGTACATCATCTGCTCCATCGTTACGCGCGGCCCTGAGCTCAGCCCCGACTTGCGCGAGCTCGACGTGAGTACAGAGTGTACGCAGGCGATGTTCCGTCCTAACTGATGTGTATGCAGGACGCGTTCGCGAAGCTCAAGATATCAGCAAGGATGCAGAAGCACATCGGCATTGATGAGCAGAGGACGCAGGTCCGGTTGACGCGCGAGCTCATCCTGAGGTACTATCCTATGGCGATGAAGTCCTGGGGTGATGTGATCGCGCACGTTGACAAGATGGACCTGACCTCTGACTCGGCGCACCGCCTACCGTCGCCCGCGAGGACGGAGGATGATCTCGCGGCATGGCTCGAGAACATGAGCGTCGACGACGCGCCGGACGAGGGCAAGCACTGTTCCCACCCGAAGATCATGCCGACATCTGTGGAGCTTTATCGGTGCTCGCATTGCGGGAACCCAAGCGCGGTGCTGAAGAAGTGCGGTGGGTGTTCGAAGACAAGGTGCGTTGACGGCTTCCTCGAATCTTCAGTCGGTTAGCTGAGCGAGCCGCAGGTATTGTGATTCCGGGTGCCAGAAACAGCACTGGCCCGACCACAAGCGCACTTGCAAAGGATCCAATAAAGGGTCCACTTAATATCTCAGATCCTTTTCATCGCCTCATCCACGTGTATGTGTATACTGCTCCTGCCCTTGTATCAACCTGTAACGTTGTAACACTCTTGCTCACCAACCAGACCTTAGTCGTCGATACCTTACATTGTTGATCATCCCTGTCAATCGCTCATGTATCAACGCCATATTCCGAATGTATTTCCCACTTGCGCTATGAAAAGTTCGTTCTCTGAAGGGGCTGTCGAAAACAAGCATGAGCTCATGATGATGCAAGAGAAATGAATACGGTACATTCAGAATAAATCATAGTCCTTAGTAGCATAGATAGCTGATACGAGGGGTGCCCAAGACACAGAACAATGAAGGAGGAATCGACATGGTACATATCAACCTCTGCGCCGTTTCGAAGTGGTAGCATCCAATGCGCCTGCCTTCCGCTCTTCCACTCGCTGCAGAAACTCTACTTTCTCAAGGTATCCGCCTCCGCGGCGGTTGGCTTCGAGCTCGTCCTTGAGCCCAGACTGACCTTCCTGCTGTACATGCGAGCGCCAGTCCATCGCTGACTTGCTTAGAGTAGTGAGCTTCTTCGCTTTCTGTGCACTGGGCAGCGGCTCGAGCTTCGTCTTCGGCTTCCGAGGCCCCAGCCGTTTGGCGGGTGGCCTGGGAGCGATGGCAGACGACGATCGAGGCGGTGGGTGACTGGACTCTGGCAGCTTCGATGCGTCCTGTTGCTTGATACTGGTGGGATGATCTATGCTTTTGTCTCCCTCGCCCTGGTCCGGGGGTTGCCAACGGGGCCACCTCTTCGCATCATCGGATTCTTCGGACACCTCCTTCACTTCCCTGGCGACGACACACTCAAACACATCAAACAGGGACAGCGGGGCAAGGTAATGGCCTGAAGAACAAAACTTACACAACTTCTTCTCCAGCAAAGCGGTACCGCTTCTCAATGATCACCATGCGTGGTTGGGGCGCCCCGGTGCCGGATCCACTGGGCTGTGGCGTACACAATGATGCCTGGAATTCTGCCCAAACAATGTCCCGCTTTCTGTACCAAAAGCTGAGGGAATCGTCATAGGTAGAGCTCTTCGACGCACTGCTTTTCTTCGAGCTGACTTGGTTCTGCTGGGCTGTGGAGGCGAGCACGCTTCGCCCCACGCTCAACGGTATGCTCCTCCTCGGATGAATCTGGATCGGGAAAAATTAGAATAACCAGTATAGAAGGGTCGATAGTACAACCATCATTACGAGGAGGGACATAGTCCGGGTCGTCTTCAGAATCTGAGGCAGGCATACTCGAGCCTACTCGTCGCAAGAGGACAGCATTGAAAGTGAGCGGCACTGAGCAACACAACTGTGATTGCGAGTAATTGGCTATGATACACATGCCAAGTTACCAGATATGTTCCCTGGTAGTATATCGGTTAGTACACGCGCCTGTCATCCCGTCTTCGCCAGTGAGCGCGCGCGAAAGCGGGGTTCGACTCCCCGCCAGGGAGTCTTTTGTTCTATAATAACTTTTATTAAACCGCTTCCGCCAGCAGCCAAGCGTCTCCGTGACCGGCATAGCGAAGTGCACGGCTCAGGCATCTGAAATACGCACAAAAAAGAGTTACAGCAATCTAGCTATACTACAGTACACCAAATTCCTCACTTTCCCTCGCAACTCAGTAGGACCGACCAAACAAGGTCCAACGCTTTGCATCCTTGCCACATGCCGCGCATTTTGTCTTCCCGTGCTCAATTGTGGGCCAGCGAGACTGGTCGAAGGGGATGCAGAGAGACTTCGCACCCGCAGAGGGCGCACGTTCGTCTTGAGGCTCGGCCCTGCAATGTACAAGCCGATCAGCACAAGAAGCCATGTAACGATAAGTATACGACACTGACGATCGTGAACTTCGATCCTTGATGTCGTCCTCGCATGCCTCCTCTTCGCACCACGGCATCGCAACGACACACTTATTGTCAAGCGTCGGCATGACGTCCTCCCAGCGGGTCACCTCCTTGATCCGCGAGAAATAAGTGTCCTGTGCGCGCTTGAACATGTCCGCCTGGATGGTCTCAAGTAGCTTCGGCACCGCCGCCTTGACGTTTGGCAGAGGGAGGGGCGCCTTCACGCCGGTGTCACGGCGGACAGTGACAGTCTGGTTCTTGGCTAGGTCCGCAGGGCCGATCTCAAGACGTAGGGGTACACCCTAAGCCGTTCAGGCGATAAGCATGCGAAGAAGAAAAATCAAAGAAATGAAGCGCGCACTTTCTGCTCCCAGTCGTTGAACTTGAAGCCAGGGGTGTAACTGTCACGGATGTCTGCCTTCGCCTTTACACCAACGCTCTTGAGCGTAGCTGCCAGCTCCTCACACTTGTCATTGATCTCCTTCCTCTGTTCGTCGGTGAACCTTGCGGTAATACCGCACGGCACGATCACCACTTGGACAGATGCCACGCGCGGCGGGAGCACCAATCCCTGGTTGTCGCCGTGTATCATGACCATGACACCGATCGTACGCGTCGACAAACCCCACGAGTTCTGCCACACGTACGCTTTCTTCGTCGGATCGTTCGGGTCCTCCACGAAGATGTTGAACATCTCCGGGCGCGAGAAGTTCTGCCCGAGACAGTGCGAGGTACCCGCCTGGATACCACGACCGGTTGTCGGAACGAAGCCCTCGACGGTAGTCGTGTACAGACCACCGGCAAACTTCTCCTTCTCCGACTTGACACCCTTGATGACGGGAACGGCCAGCAGGTCCTCGTACACCTGTCGGTAAAGGTCGAGAATCTCGAGAACCTCCCTGTCTGCCTCGGCTTTGGTCAGATGTGCAGTGTGCCCTTCTTGCCACAGGAACTCCCGTGTTCGTATGAACGGCTCTGTAAGCATGTCAGAGGAGTACTGAGGTATGAGGAAAGGGATTTGTTCACTGACGCGGGTTCTTGAACTCCCATCGAACGACGTTGTTCCACTGGTTCAACTTCAGCGGCAGATCGCGATGACTCTTGATCCATTTTGCGTAGTCTTTATATCCACGTCAGCGTGATACGCACGGCAGATCCTGCGCTACTCACAAGGATACATAACTGTTTCTGAGGTTGGGCGAACAGCAATGTGCTCTTCGAGTTCAGACTGCCCACTGAGTGAGGGTCAGAGCTACGTAGAGTAACGAACTTGAAGCAGCACTTACGCTCGTGTGACCCAGGCGACCTCAGGAGAGAATCCCTCAATGTGATCTTTTTCCCGCTCGAGGACCTTCGCCGAAACGAATATAGGGAAGTATGAGTTTTGCACTCCCATGTCGCGAATTTGTACGTTGAACCATTCTATGCCCTAGTGTCAGTGACTATGTTGTAGGAAAATCTTCGTGTACAGACCTTGAATAGCCTCCCAGATGCTGTAGGACCATGGACGTAAGATGTAGCATCCACTGACGTTGTAATATTCAATCATGTCTGCCTTGGTGAGCACGTTCGTGTACCAGGCGGCGAAGTCGACCTCTTTCTTGATGCCAATAGCAATCTGCACGGCACCCTCGATCTTGGCTTCATTTTTCTCTTTCTCCTTTTCCTTTTCCTTCTTAGCGGCCCCTGCATCCGTCTTGAGCGATTCAAAGTCAATCTCCTGCAGCGGGGTGTCTTGAGTCTGCACTGTCTGGAGATACGCTAGGATGTCTTTCCCAGATAGGAAGATCGTCGATGTCGAGGATCGTGCGCGAACGGCAAAGAGTGACGAGGATGAGGTGATCGAGGCATCCAGGACAGTGGTGACCTTGGGATATGTCTCCGCGGTCAGCATGAGGGGGGACACTGCATACCCATGAGTCAACCGAGTAATCTTAGAATGTGAAATGCCGCGTACGTGAATCTTTATCGAGGGAGAAGAACTCCTTCAACAGGTCCTCCGACGCGACCCGCACCTCCTTCAGGTTGAGCTTCTTGCCCACTGCGTTCGAGTTCACCTCCGTGCTCTCGCGCGCGATGATAACAAGGGGGACCGGGGTTGCCGTCTTCGCCGTCTTGGGCTTGTACACCATCGTCTTCAAAGTTTCGAAGCTCTCCGGGGCGTCCGCGCTCGCCCGCAGGGCTTCGCGCCAGTTTGCCGCGTCCGTCGCGTCATGGTTAACGACCGCGGCAGGCTGGATAGATAGGGTCGCCAGAGATTGGGTGATGCTCTCAAGAGAAGCCATGGTCGCCGTTGTGAGAGGTCGATAGCGGGAGCAGAAGGGAGAGTGTGCGGCAGCGCCTCTCGATATGAAGGGTGACTCGACGCGTTTTTGGCTCTGGGATGTTATCAGATGTGCACTGGCAGGGATCAGCCATCTGCTGCTTATTTGAGTCAATCGCCGTGTCGCATGTCGGGAGACGAACATGCAGCCTGAACCCGTCCTACTCACTCGACTGCTGCAGTGGCCGGGGCGTCGTCGAGGCGTAGAGACGGAAGCCGTAGGCGAAGCTCGGGACGCTCACCGTTCGATCGAGTCGGGGATTGATCGTACACGTTCAGCTCGTCCTCGCAAAATTCACACTCGTCACACAGCGAAATCCGTGTTCAAAGCAATACATTTCGTGCTCATACGAGGACATATCGCCAGTGCATGTATCATACGGTCAATGCTACAGGTGAACTACAACCGAGACGTCCGGAGTCCGCCCTACGAATCTAAGTCGTTCACCGTGAGATGCCATTTGTAGTACAAAGCAAATAGAATTATAGACATTGCGTGCAGGGTGTGCAGGACGTGATGATGATAGTGATGACGTAACAGATCATCGCAAACGGGGGGAGAACACACCAGGGCGGCGAGAATACACAGGCAGGGACTAGGAAAACACAATAATTTGGAGGTATGCAAGAGATGCGGAGTCCAGAGAGCTGATGCGGCGGGGGAGAGGGAGGATGCGCGGGTCTGTGCGGGTTTGTATGAGGGAGGTATCCAGGTTGTTCGGTGAGTGTGTATGCACAATTATTGTTGACGACGCGCGCCGCCGAAGTTGAACTTTTGCGACCAGTAAGCGCCGGCACTGGCCTGAGCCCGTGCCTTCTCCAACGCCTCCTCCGCTGCGAGAGCTTCTGCTTCGGCGAGAGCGACGGCATCTTCCGCCGCTTGCGCCTCCTCCGCGGCCAAGTGGTGCCGGATTTGCGCCTTGATCTGAGGCAGCAAGTCCAGCAGTGAGACCGCAGTGCCCTCAGCCCATCGATCCAGCGCCCAAGTACGTACGAAGATGCTCGCCTGCGGGTATCGTCATTACTCAGTGGCAACCAACACATGCACACACTACATACCTTGAGGAACTTCTTGGCAGCATACTTCTTGTAGAAACACTCGTGCCTGACGGGCTTGAGCACGTAGTTGAGCATGAGATTCGCCGTCGGAATCAACGCGCTCTCGGGGTAAGAAGAGTAGTGCGCGAGGTTCGGTGTCTGCAGTCAGGAGTCAGCCCATGTTCGATGCCCACCATGAGCAACACGCACCCAGTCAGGGAAGTTGAGTATAATGCGGGCCAACCATAGAGCGGCAGCAGCGAGCAAAGACGGCGGCGCAGCAATCAGTCGCCACTCGAGGCACTGGATCTCGAGGAGGTACTTTGCGATCGTACGGACCTGAACGTTGTACTCGTCCGCCTTACTTACGCGCCGGAGGAAGTGGATGGGATTAGGATAGCCTAGATTCCAGTCAATCGTCTTGAGCACGTAGCGCTCTGCCTGCAGGATTTCGTGCTCGGTGTAGCTCGAGTGCGCGCAATAAAGAAAGTTGCTCGCGCTCGGAGCTACAACCTCCTCCACCTTCGCCGCAATGAACATGCACGTGACCCCTACTAGTTGCAGCTTCGCCAGCGACACGACGCGCGCGGAAAGGAAGCGGTCGATGATGTTGACGCAGAGGAAGAGGGTCTCGGGTAGGAGCTTGAATCGTGAATGAACCTGGATGAGCCAATCGGTGAGAATGCCCCGCATCTTCCACGCCAGGTCCTTTTGGTTCTCCATGTAACGAGGATTCGGCATAGTGGTTTGCTCAACCTCCTTGAGGTAGTCGAAAATCTCCACGACGTATTCATTCACCATGAGGGGATCGTCGCCATCGTCGGCGTCTAGATCGGTCCACTCGTTACCGTTGGGATCGGCCTCGAGTGGCTCTTCATAGGCAACGACCTCCTCGACCTCAGCGATGGCGGCCTCCTCCGGGTAATCTGACGACGTTCGCCGCTTCTTGTACGCGCGTTCTGCCTCCTCGTCCTCTTCCTGTTGTTCTCGTCGGATCGTGGGTTTCCCAAAAGAACGACGCGGCGTCGCGCGAGAGGGGATGCCGGAAGGTGCAGCAGCCGCAGAGGCGCGAGCAGCCACAAGTCGTTTTGGCGCTGGAACAGGGATGATGTGATCGACAACCATCCGGTCCTCTTCTCGCTGCTCCATGATTTCTTCCTCGAGCTCCTCGAGCTCTTCCTTGACCTCTTCTAGCACGTGTAAAGGCTGTGACAACTCGGCAGGTTGGGGAGCAGGAGTGGTTCT